GAGGTGGGTCTGAGCAGGCATTATTCAAAGTATACAGTTGTAATTGCTGTGTACATGCATTTATGCCATCTCTGAGCACCATTAAACAGTATGTAGACACCTAAATGCCACTTCAGAAGCGCTTCTGTGCCATCTTTGCAATGTAAATTTGACACTAGTTTTACAAAATAATGCATAGTATTTATATAAATATTACAAATAATATTAATAATGTTACAAATATGCTTATTTTTATTAAAGACAACAATCCATTATAAATAATGGTTACTATGCCCCATGACTAATACATTAATTTGTCAAGAAATGTAAAACATTTAATGAATTAAATTAATTAATTAATGAATGAAATGAAAATAAAATAAACAATATACTGACTTCTAAAGACATTGTTTGTATTCAATGCTTTCTTCAGCCACAAAAATGTAATGTCTTTAAATTTTCTTAATTTTAGTGCTTTTCTCAGAAATATTGATATATTAACATATTAAATATATATATTAATATTAACATATGAAAATATGTTATAAAAATGTACATATTATATAATTAATATAACTATTAATAAATTATAATATAATATAAATTATAAATATGAATAAAATCAATCTATAATTAAATTATTTTATATAAAGGATTTAGTTAATTTATGTAATTTTTTTTTACTTAAAGTTTTAGTAATTTTTTTTTTTTGTATTTGTTTTTGTTTTTCTATATGTCTATATAGTTTTACCTCATGTTAGATTCTGCTCATACATGCAAACTGTATTATCTTTTTTTACAGTCTCAATATACCATTATGACTTCTTTATGGTTAAGGTCTCTTAAAACATTACACAACAGTCTTGTATAATGTGAATATCTTTAGACTATTAGAATCATATTTTTCCAGAGTAGCCCATCGTTTTTGTCAGGTTTGTGATATTAATTTTGTTATTGCGACGTGCTTTGTTATTCCCTTGCTATTTCTGTATCATTTCATCTCCTTTTACAGCCCAAACAGGATCAGAGCAGAATTTTTGCAGCAGCTTTTTACTACAGTGAATTTATCATTGCAGAAAGCTTTCCCATAATCCTGTGAGGGAGTGCTATGGATTCTTTTAGGGTCATTGAAAGGATGTATACCGCAGCTTGGAGTGGGAGGGGATGGGGGTGGGCTACTTCGGTGGGAAAGTTTGTATCTGGAGTGCAGTAAGTGGAGGCTGTAGCAATTACGCATTGAAGACTGGATAGCTAAAACTCTTATACCATTAGACAGCTGAATTTGAGTGGATCAGATGTGTTTTAATTCCGATTATATCTCTGTGTGAAGCAGTCTGGGAATGTAGCTCTGGCTTTAGGGCATTAGAGGGAGATTTGAGGCAAGTCAAAGTTCAAATCACTATAAATAAGCCATTGTTTTTCATTAGTGTCATCTTCATTAGTTCACACATAAAAGAGAAAATCTGCTGTATGAAAGGGAAAGAGATGGCTGTCAGCCCATGAGAACAAGGTCGGGTCATATTACATTAATCTCAGCAGACACTGACCCAATGAAGACAGAGGTCAAGGCATGCTAATGAACAGTACTAGATCTATTTAAAGAAGTAGATTAACCAAAAATGTAAATAATGTCATTATGAGGACTTTAGCAATATAAGACATTACGCTGCAATATTTTTTTTTTCTGTAAAGATGCTTTAAAATAATCTGTATTGTGTTTCTTAATAAAATTGACAACTTAATTTAAAGTGCTTTCACACCACAACATACATACATTATCTATGTTATGTTGTTGTCTGCAAGTTTTTGTATGCTGGTTGCACCAAATAACTTTGATTTGGGGACAAAAGTATTAATAAACAGCTAAGCAATTTTGTTAAAAATATATTTATTTTACCATATAAAATAACTGTATTTATTTGCCAGAATTTCATAATTTTAATTAATTTTTCATTTTTCAACATTATTATATTAGGAAAGTTTTGTTGTTGTTGTTGTTGTTTGTTTACACTACCATTTAAAAGTATGGGGTCAGTAAGATTTTTATTGTTTAAAAAAAAAAGAAGTCTCTTAATCTGACCAAGCTGCAAAAAAAAATAGAATTATACATATATAGACACTATATATATATATA